CCCCCACCCCCCCAAAAAAATACTTTGTACTGAAGGACCAGCAGAGGGCAGCACACTGCTCACTGTGGAAGCAGGTTATTCCTCCTGTACATACACACACACACACACACACACACACTTTGCCTTGCTGCTGAAAACCTCCACTCCTGCAGCACCCTAAAATTGGAAGTGCATCTGGGGAACCCCAGACAGGCCACATTTCCAGTAGGGACCTGGGAGGGAGCAAAAATGTGGACTATCTGACAGGCATCTGGGAGAGAGCAAAAATGTGGACAGTCTGGGGGTCCCCAACGACCTGTTTGAGAGACACTGCTGTTTCTCAAATGCTAGTACTGTATACTGTGGACTGGCATCCCATCCAGGGTGTCCCCCTGCCCAGTGCCCCATGCGGCCACGGAGAAGCTCCAAGTCTCTCCATTACCCAGTCCAGGATAAGCGTTAGGAAGATGGATATTGTCAAACATAATTAATTAAACACAAAAAGAAATAAGCAGAAATAATGAGAGCAAAATTATGTCTGTCATCGCATGTCATTCAGTTGGAAAAGCAATTTAAACATAAGAATGTTCAGCTGTACAGAACAAAGAACAATTGAGGCGACATATAATCAACACAACCCAGGGAGCCTGACTGTAATCACCAGAGCTGCAGATCTGCAGCAGGTTAAGTTCAGTAAACACCAGCAACAGACTCACTGTGACTCGTCAGCTAATCACGGTGGGGCCTCGCTTTTCATATTTTCAAGATGAGCTCCTGGGAGTGGATTTCAGATGACGGGATGGGAGGTAATGAAAAACGTCCCCCCCCCCCCCACACCCCCGGGTCATAGCTAAACAAATGTGATTTTTCACATCTGTACCAAACATTTCACCTTGAAAGTTCACCAAAAAACTTCCCCCTGGCCCCCCTAGGGAGCCTTACGTGATTGTAGACCTTCTGTCAGCCAGCTCCATGCAAACAAGCAAGAGAAAACATTGCATTCTGGTCTCTGGACTCAAACGAGAAATCACCACGAAGGAAATCACCACCTGATTGTCCTTGGGCAGTTTTTCCCAGTCATGTGGCATTGTGCCTCATTTTGCGGCCTGAAATTCCTTGGCATGGTTTTATTGAGGTAATTCAATTGGCAACTTACTGGGGGAGGTTTGGATATTCCAGGGGGAGGGTTGAGGCCCCTCTGCATACAGATTGCTAAATGTTACGGATATGTCTCTCTTTCCACCTATAAGAGGAATTAGGAAACTATGCCCAGTTGCAGTACTTTACCTGTCAAGGTCGTCCTCTGCTGGATCCGACATGGCTATCTTGGATGTTTGCTAGTGTCACCCAGCCAGCAAATGAAGCTTCGTGAACCATTTGCTGTATTTTTTGACCCCACTAGATGGTGCTCTCTGATCAAAAAAGGGGAACAGAGCATGCCCTAAAGCAGACTAAGAGCACCATCTAGTGGGGTCGGAAAATACAGCAAATGGTTCATGAAAAGCTTCATTTGCCCTCCCGTTGTCCATAGTGACCACAACCCACCAGGTCTAAGCCCACAGGTCTTGCTCTGCCTGCAAGGCGCAGTGTGGTGCATTTGGCGCAACATGCCCAGGGTTGTCCTGCTTTCTGGGCAGTTTACATGCTTATGTGCCTTTTGCTCAGGGGGCCAACAGAGACACAAACATTCTGCCAACCATCCTAACCCACAGAGTCACACACTACCCCTGTAAACATGGGTGGAACTTCTGGTTGGGAATCTAGAAACAGGAAGGAAGTAAAAAGGAATCGCAGAAGGTACTGATGTCAGTACAAAGACCACGATTGGCACTGAGATCTTCAGAGCTTAACTGAAGGAACTGTACCCCTTATGGATTTAATGAGCAGGCATTAGTTAGGAATCAGCTAGTGCTGTAGGCAGCTAGAGACCAGACAGGGATCAAAACATCACCAAGGGGCCTGTGGGTCTGGCTGTGGCCCAGCACTCTGGGTACCTGGGGCCATTGTTGGCATACAATACAACGTCACACTGCTACTGTCATCCATCATCCTCCAGCCACTTATCCACTGCAGGCACACTCACAGAGAGTGAGTAATGCAGGGACCCCAATTAGACTAACCGCTCGTGTTTGGACTTCAGTACCTGAAGGAAAGCAGCGGTCCATGGGAAGAACATGCAAATTCCACAGCCCACCTGCGGACATACTGCGTCATCCTCACACCGTGATTTAAAGAAAATTTTAAATTGTTCATCTCTGATCCAGAACTTGTAGTGCTGCGTTTGGGGGGGGCTAACCTTTTTTTGGTCATGGGAGTTTTACTAGCACAAAAAAGTTCTGAGGGCAGAAGAAAAAATTATTGGTTCAGAGAGATAACCAATCAGATTGTAGAGGAGGTGGGTCCAAGCAACTAGAGGAGGCAGGAAGAACCAATCAGATCTCTTTTTCCCACCTCCTCTAGTTGCTTGGATCCACATCATTTACAATATCCATGAATGACCTTCTTGTAGGGCCTGCTGCAGCTTAGGTAGAAGATGAGGAGAAGTTGGGTTTGGTTGGTCCTCAAAGCGGAGTGGAAGGGCATTGGAGGCGCTCAACCTTCCTTCCCTTCTTCCCTTCCAGAAGTGAAAAATGCAGAATAATCACTCACCCCCTTAACTCCTGTAAGACATTCCCCCAATTTCACAGTAATTCCACGGCCACAGCAACGAAATCGAACCAGTATTCACCAGGACGCTCCATCAGCGCTCCGTCGCTCTGCTCAAATTATTGCATTTAGCCAGCATCGGTTCTGCTAGGTGATTTCAGTGGCGTACGTTACGTATCCACCCACTAGTGCAGCCGCATACTACCTGCGGCATTCAAACACAGCAATGAAGCTTTCAGCTTTTCAAAACTTAACGAAGCTGCGAGCTTCGAGGAAGCCACCTTCAATCACATTCACACATTGCGCCCCCTTTTACTCAGACTTAGGGTCCAGTTATATTTTTCACTTAAAAAATCATTTATTTACTGATATCCACAGTAAAAAGGTTTTTCCATGCATCCATTTTTGTATAAGTGCTTATCCTGTTCAAGGTTGTGGGGGGTCTGGAGCTTATGGCAGGCAGACATCCCAGGATGAGGCACCAACCAATCACATTTCACACTCATACACCATTCACTCACTCAAGTATACCTACAAACAATCAGCCTCATAATGTTTTTGGACTGTGGGGGGGCGGGGCAGAGAACCCAGAGTAAACCCCATGACAACACAGGGAGAAGATGCAAACTCCACACACATGGAACCCAAGCAGAGACTCAGACCCAGATCTCAGAGGTGTGAGGCAACAGTGCTAACCACTGCACCCCCACACCACCCCTGAAAGGTTTTTTAAACCTAAATAGTATTTCAGCACAATAGTTCCACGTTGCTCCAGGTTTTGGAACATTCTGGAATCCTAGCAAGAGAAGCATGACTCTTTGGATATAGCCAGAGTTACTGTTCAAATTAGACATTTTACAAAAAAAGATAAATAAACAATACACTTATTGTATTCCAAGATCTACACTAACGGGTAGGATGAGACCAGGGACAATTGTTGAATGGGGTCAGTTGTTCGAATGAATGCAGTAATATTCCTGCATAACTGAGATTCCGAGATCTCTTTTCCAGGGTGTTATTTTTCTACATTCCTTGTAGGGAAGTGTAGTCTCCCCTTTACTAGGGCAAAGAACAGAAGTAAAAAAACTTGCATTTCCAAATTTTTAAAAATGGAAGAAATTTACAAATTAATTAGAGGGACATGGTGAGCATGTTGAAGAAGATCCAGGTCCTGATGTTTGCTTCGGCTGTGCGGCTGGTGAAGGCCTTTGACCCAGATCTCTCCCCATGGGGGCCTGCAGCTTAGACATCTTCACCGGCACCTCGCCAAATGAGGAGCGTGCTCACATCACAGAATCCACACACAGCAACACGCCAACCCCTATGTGTGGAAACAAAGTCACGCGCAGGGCGTCACACCTTAGCTGGCTTGCCGACGGCGCCGGGTGAAGATGTGTCAGAAGCGTTACTCACTCAGCAGCCCTTCTGGGACCCGCGATCAGCCGCCCGGGCGTCTCGCCAAGCCCAGAGCATTAACGGGAAAACCCGGAGCGTGCGAGTGATCGCACTAACCGGCGGAAAACGCAGCCTCAGGCAGGGGACGAGGGCTTCTGGGCTTCAGCAGGAAGGAAGGACAAGCGCATGACAGAAAGCAAAAGAAGAACAGATAAGGAATGAAGAGCCGATGTGATAAAAATCCATACAGTGAGGTTACAGTTCAGTTACAGATGCTAGCGTTCACTTAGGCCAACAGAAACCACCACAAACATTTCTCTAGAAAAAAAAAAAAAAATCTTTGGTATGTGGCAGCTGATTCGCCACCGCAGGCAGCAAGATGTCAAATCAGCCCCAGAGAGAGCAGGGGGCTCCGGAGGTGGACAGGACCGTCTCATCCATCTGAACCCCGGGGGGGTCCCATCTGCCCTGATGGGGACCAGGTACTATATAGTGCCCCCTGCTGGGTGGGAGGACTGAGGATGCAGAAACAGGCCATGTCTGATCATCCCCCCCCCCACCCACCGCTCCAGCAGAGTGAAACAGGCTCCATCTGTCAAAGATGCCCCAGGGAACTGTGGGAATGTAAGGACAAATGGACGGGGGGTGTAATGTGATACCATTGTGTCTGGTCTCATTGATGCTGAACTGAGGAAGGAAGTCATTAGGGTGTTTGATGAGAGTCTGCCTGCTTTTACACCTCACGCACGGGCACATCACTGGCAAGCCCATGTTGTATGTATTACCCAGAAGCCTCTGTGCATGTAGCAAAACAAAGCGGAGGTTGTTCACCTGTATAGACGTGATGGGGACCCCCGTGATCCTGCAGCACTCTGACATTCACAGTTTGCGGCTGGTTCGAAGATCTCCACCATGTGACCCTGCAGCAGAGAGAGAAGTCAGTCCTCACTAGACGCTCAGAACTTCATTAGGAAATTGTCAGAGCCCTGGGGGGGGGACACAGGGGGGGGGGGGGGGGGAGCTTATCTCACGATGACCTTTGTTTGCTAGGATGATACTTTCATCCACAGGGACCCTTTACCTGCAGGAGGGATTCAGACCAGCCTGGAGTTTACAGATCCACGTCCGTGTGGCTGTTGTGCCAAAGCAGCAATAAAACCTGGCAAAAAGCAGAAGATGAATGACACTGCGATAAGCACTGGAAAGGGGTAGCTACTTCATCCCAAGCAGTGCTTCTCTGCCTGACCCCCAGACAGGCCACATATTGGCTCCCTATCGCATATTGGCCATCGTTGGGGGGGGGGGGGATATTCAGTGTTCCTGATTGCTGTGTTCCTGTCTATGACTGACCCTGAGGACTGGGTTAAGTAACAATAATCTGGAGAAATATACAAAAACACACACTTATTGGGGGGAGCACTGGTTTGGCAACAGGAGGAAAATCTACAACAACATACACACACACTCCTGTGATTAAAGAATTGCTTGTGCATCTACAAGCAGAAACAAAGTGCAAGATATTCAAATGGTGGGGGGCATGCTGGTCGAAGCCCATGTGCTGCTCTAGGCAAGATTCTTCACCTCTGGGGCCTCCATCTCACATGTGAAGTCCCCGCCTTACGCGCAGAAGCTCTCTCCCTCCCTCTGAGGTATCTGAGGGGGCTTCTGAGGTTTCTCAAGGATACCTGCTGGTGTTTTAAGAAGCCCAACATTTAGTTTGTGTGAGGTTGGTCCAAAACACTGCAGTTGTGAGGGAAGTTAGGACACATGTGGCGAGTCAATAAATCAGAAGATAACGCAGATTTCTAACTAGACTGGATATTCTTCTAAAGCAGGTCTGAGCATTTCCGTGCAGGGCCAAATACAAGCTTCACAGACTTGTTGGATTCTACCGTAACACTTTACTTGAGGGGGCAAATAATGTAACAGTACACTCTGTGTTAATTAACCAGAAGCTAAGTGTTAGTTATGTACTGATCCCATGTTTGTTCATCATCAGTCAATGATAACGGTCCATGTATTTCACGCGGGATGTATATTACTTCATGATTTGTTCTTCAACAAACCACAAGTCGAGTGTTAGCGACCTGCAAATCTTAAAACATATTAAATACACGCGCAGCCTCCTTAGTACAGTAAATACTCCTGGCGTACGGGTGGGCTGGCTGTCAAGCCACTCTTTTAAATGTAAGCTTACTAGTTTACAGAATATATATGTATATATCAGGATATAAACGTTAGAATATATTTAAGGATGCGTGAAGCTGCCCTGCCAACCAGCCCACACCTCAGTATTGCAGTTTAACTCCGGCGTCCAGTCGTTGCTGTTGTTGAAAACCACTGGAAATAAAACAACACTGGCTTTAGTATTTTTTTTTACGGATTTCGTGACTGTAGAAATCAAGCCTACGATAAGTTATTGCTGGTGGCAGCCGTCCCATTGTAACAGTCTGTGAGCTCTTACCCCCCGCCCCCGCCGCTGCACGATGAATCCTTTATTTCTACCGAAATACTCACGATGCATCCCGACATATCAAAACTGCATTATTCTAAAAGCAAATAAAAATGCCCCTAAGAAACAATATTTATACAATGTAATTAAACAGTACGTTACAAAGTTTCTTTTCAATATTCAGTTGTTCAGCCCATTTAACAGGTGTCCGTAACATTAAACATATACCCACCCAGGCATGGAAGTTTTATTTTAATACTGTTTACCGGCCCAATTCTGTTCTTTATCGTTCAAATACAATAAGAATGTACAATTTTAATAAACACAATGTATTGAAACGCACCTTTTGAAATAAATCGGATAGTAATTAATATGAGATCAAGCGAAGCGATGACGCTCAGATATTTATCTATCAGGTAATAACGTGTTACATCCTTCCTACCTCTTAATCCTCCACAAGAATCTTCAAAACACAGGAACTGCGATTTTTCCCAAGGTGCAATTTTTCTATGATCATGAATCATAAAATTACCCAATGAGGAAATACAAAACTATAAATAAAAGTGGGTACATTCAAATCCAATCGACGCCGTGCAAAACGGCATCACTTCAGCATTTTTGATAAATAAACTGGCCTCGAATTGCGAATCCTAGTTCCCTTCCATCGTTCAAGCTAGTCTTTTTATTTTCCTGACAAGCATCGAAATAAGTCATTCTAACTTTCCTCCCGGCTTTCTGCCGTTTCCCTCGTTTAAGCTTTAGCTAATTTCACCGTACGTGTTTATAGCGCCCCCCTTCGACAGCTCTGCAAACCTGCCAAGATGCAGTTACTTCACCGACCACCAGATGGGAGCCCATAATAATCCTGTTAATGGAAAGTCGCGTGCTGTATATCACCTGTGTGTGTGTGTGTGGTGTGTGTGTATATATATTGTAGCGTGTAGTGTATATAGAGTGTTTCGGATTGTCAGGCAGGTCACTGAGAGTAAACACATAGTAAAACAAAAATCATGGCTTTATTAGTTTATCACTTTATGGACCGTACCATGGGAAGAGAATTTTTACTTCCGAAAGCCCTTTGGAAATGTACCTAAATAATGCTCATACCGCCAGCATATTTAAACGGTGGCAGTGAAGTCAATGCTGTAAATACGCCGTGGTGACGCTGTGGGAAGTTAAATAGTGGTTGGTTATTACCCTCCAGGACCTGTGGACTCTGGTGGTACCGACTTTTTCCACAGGATTTTTAAGAGCTAGGTACAGCTACTCATATTCCAGAGAACATGCCGTGCCATTTGGCTTTTTTACGGGGTAGCGAGTTAATCTTTCTGAAAGTATGACTGCTGTTTTTTAAATAATATTTCAGCACACTGCCTTTCAACCCGTTTTCGCTGTTTGTTAGCCATTGGTGAAAAACTATGAATTCAGGAGTGTAAATGAAGACACAACACAAAATAATCAATTAATAAATAATCCTAAATCATTTTCATGGATTAGGCCCTATAGATTGCAGTCTGCTTTTACTGAAATATATAGTAGCAAACTTTTACGGCTTTATTACTCATTAACTTATTTCACTATTGCAATTTGCCCATTAAATTAACGAAGAAATTCTAGAAAATAGATTTTTGGACAAAATCATTAATGTTGCAACTATTCTAAAAACCAGTCTGTGACACCTGATTGACCTGTGATAGACTTGTAACCTTTACCTTATGAAGGCAGCACTGGGAAAAGTACAACTGCCGTTCAAAATGTGATTGGTCCTGTTTGTGTGATTGTGGCCGTGTAAAATAATTTCAATGAACAGGCAACAAGTCTAATTAAACAATAACAATAATTGCTACACATATAATAGAGTTGGGGCACTTAGTAATGCACTGTGGCATTTAAATAAGACACTCAAGCATTCAAATTACATAATTTCCTTTTGAAAAGGCTAGGAGTTACACAATGAATGCCAATATTTGTGTTGGATGGCCCGGTAGCTCAATGGGTAAGATCCGTTACCTCACATTTCTACAGCTGGGGGTTTGGCTTGTACTCCAACCCTATGTGGCTCTGAGGCTAGGGAGATTGCTGGTTCGAATCCTGTGAATCCCAGGAGTGATCCTACTTTGTTGGGCCCTTGAGCAAGGCCCTTAACTTGCAATTTCTTTGTCCGGGGTATGACGTTAATCCACATCCAGCCCTACTTGCAGGTCATCCAACTTACTGTGAATATTTGGGTGTCGGTGGCGGGATTAGCACTCCAGCCACGGGGAAACACTCACTCTGTTCCATTCAGATTAGTGAGGTGCTGAGGCATCACCTGTCGCACAGGCTCTGCGCATAGGCGCCCATCCCTGAGGTGGTTTGTCATGTGGTGGGTGTGGCAACGTGCCGTAATCAGCATGTGCTCCTTACCTGTACCTCTATATGTGAGTGGAGTTTGTATGTTTCCCCCCAAGTTTTGTGGATTTCTTCAGAGTCAAAAGCAGCTATGTGTCTCTGAATTGCTTATAGTGTGAGTATGTAACAGGCATCCTGTCCAGGGTGTACCCCAGGAATAGGGTGGAGTAGGCTGCCTGGAATAGGCTCCTGACCCCCCAAGAACCAGAGCAGGATGGATGATGAAAATATTGGTCTTGCCTTTATTTCAGCAACATCATCCCCCCCCCCCACCCCCAACAAAAGGATGTTTTTTCAATGGAGACCTGGATGAGTGTGTGAGAGAGGTGGGTGAATGAGATCAGGGAGCGTTTGAGGACTGAGCTGAGCGAAGCGGCTAGGATGATGCAACCAGTCTGGGCGGAGACGGAGGCGCCGGGCTTCACGCGGTGGCTCACGTTAACGCTGGGCTCCGCCCACACTCTCACTCGCCACTTCCGTAGCAGGGGATGCGTGGAGGTTTAGGACCAAAGTTAGGCTCCACCTGTGAAGGACGTATCGACGACTCTAACCGCTCCACCCTCACTATTTACCAGCTCTGGGGTCCACGGGTGCAGAGACCACCAACGGGGGTCACAGTCTTCATCCCTTCCTGGACCAATTACAGACCCTTCTGCGAGTTTGAACAAAAGGATGTGTTAAAAGTAACCCTGGTTACTTTTAATATTGGACCTGCTCTAATACCAGGCCACTGAGACTTCGAGGAACCCTAATCCCCGCCCAAGAACTGCGAAATCATCTTGATGTCTTCGTTCCAAGCCTTACGGACATTTGGGAGGATCAGCAATCATTGAATCACAGCAGCTCAGTGGGTCCAATTGTGTGGTACAGTGGGACCCGATGGTGTCCGACTCGCATATCTGCACCCGATCAAGCTTCTGTCCGCTCACCTCTGGCACTTTGGATTATGTAATTGCCAGGCCTGCCGCTGCTGACAGCTCCGGGGAAAGTCACCCTGCACCGCATCCGCCCCCGCCACGCCCTCTCGGCACACGCCGCCGTGACGCCTGACCAGCTGCCAGAGATGGGACACCACACGAGAGACGCAAATACATACATCCAAGAGTCACATCCCCGGCATCTCAGGGGCAATTCTAAGTCAGTCTTATCTTTAGCCAATGATATGTTTTGAATCGGTGAGTGACAGTAAAGGGGGTACTCCAGCAGCCAATCAGCTTTCGGGAGAGGCCAGTGCCCCGTGGCCCCACCCCTTCTGCATCTCCAGGTTAGGTCCCCAAGACAGCTCGACTTCAACATCTCAGGGTGCTGCTGCTCTGGTTTTTTGCAGATCTTTCCTCGGTGCTGTTCTGCGGCTTCCAGCCATACTTTCAGATCAGTATACATGTTGTTTTTTAACATACAACAGCCTCCTGACATGTCTTTATCCAAGAATTCTCGGCTACACTGTTTCAACTATAACCTCCCCCCCTTCACCAGTACCCCCCTTTAAATCGAGCCCCCCTCTCCAGCTCGGCCTGTTTCCATCTTTACATTTAATCTCTTCCCATCTTCAAGAGTCTTCGCTATCCTTCATCTTCTAAAGAACTCTTAGTTACGGTGCCCAGCTCGGTGGCTCTGGTCCTGCCCGGCCCTGTTCTGCATTCGGCTAAAGCAAACAAACGCACAGCGGGCAAGGCGCCCCCTCGCCAGCTGTGGGTGGCAGAATCAGACAGGGCTGAGGTCATACGTTTTCACAGACAGGGCTTGTCTTCAGCGGAGCCCAGTTACTGGGGCGGCTTTGGCCCAATGCTCGGTGACTTTCTTGCTCAGCGAGCCCCATTACATTTAATAACGGAATCACTTGTAAAAATCAAGCCCATTAAATCAGATTTCTTGCTATGCGAATTTGTAAGGTTGCCCAGCTGTCCAGTACGAAACTTTTCCCTCCGTATGAATCATAACCAGCCGGCACCAAAACACAAGGCTGAAGATTTAATACCTCAACTGGTGAAGTTTTTCTAAACCTCCGAGTAGAGGTCGTACTTTCACCTGTCAATCTCATCTGAAAAATACTGACTCCGCAACAGCCCTAACAACAAATGACATAAGCACTGCTTATCTCCCATTTAACCCCGGATGCTTGAATTCACATCTGCGCAGTGTGCAGCTGTTTAAAGACACAAACACACACAGCCCTTGTAAGCTATATTGTACTCAAGCATCCCGTGAGTAAACAAGTAGACACACCGTCAGTCAGCTAAGGTCACAGCCTGCAGCCTCTGGGCCAAACCGAAAGCAGTTCCTCGTGTAGATTATGCTCCCCAAGAAAAGTAACATCGCACAGCACCAGAATGAGGAAAATTCCAAGGATCATTTTATTAAGAGACATCCAGAACGCAAGAGTGGGTACACAGAAACCTGCATATTTTGTATCTGCTTGAATTTTCTCGGTTTAAAAAAAAAAAAAAAGAAAAAAAAAACCTCTTGTTGCTAAAAAGAAGTAGCTTTTTGCAATCTTTTTTTGTTTTATTAAAATAATTTCCAACATGGTTGTTTATAAAACAAGTCAGCCCACATTATAACTCTGCCTGGAATGTTTTTTCTCAGATGTTTGTATTCCTCTTTCATATGGACAATACATTTTTAAAGTTAAAAGTAAAAACCCCCAAAATAAAAACAAAAATAATAATAAAAAAAAACTAATCAGAACCGCACATTTAGAAGATAAAAATAATAGCCATCCGCAAACGAGAAATGGTTTAAAGGGGAAAACGGGTCAGGTAACTCACAAATCACCCCTACCGGCTGGTGCCATCTTCCTACACTGAGCAAGTTATCGACAATTAAGAAGCGCCATTTAAAAAAAGGTTTACTATATCCGTCTTTAACGGGGACACTTGATGTGACCATTGCAGACATGCTAGGCCATCCATATCTAGCTTTGTTTTGTGCTAAAAACCTGTACCGATATTTATAAAATTGTTGATAAAAATATTCCTCTGATAACAATATGCCATGGAGGTTGAGGGCAACTACATAAGAGATTTGTGGGCTTTTTTCTCAGGGCGGGGCTGTTTGAGGGGGGGGGGGGGGGGGGGGGGGGAGGGGGGGGGGGGGGGTTCAGGGGTGGCAGTACAGCTACTCAGATTTTGCTTCCTCCTTTTCAGTTTCTTGAGGAGTGTCTCCCACCTAGAAGCAGGAAAGACAGACAGCGTCAGTGGACCTTTTCCCAGAATTTTACATGATTCCAATTCCAGTCTTCAGGTGCCAAATAAACAACAAAAAGCTGCAATGACCAGATACGGCCAATAGTCAAGATATTTAAATTTTATAAGGTGTCCACATATTTACTCACAGTTTGTATATTTCTTCATTTTATATTGTCTTTCTAAAAATTAAAAAAAAAACGTACACAGAATACTAGTTAAAGGTAATGCCTGGTTCATATCCTCATAGTACTAAAGTAGTCCAGCAAGGTACAAATAGCAAACATAGCTTCACATAAAAGCATTAAGCTGGAATATAACTGTAAATGACAGCCTGCATTACTGAGGACTCAATGTTATGCATTTTTAATGTGAAAGGTTCTTCCTTTTGTCAAAAACACAAACAGTAATTTAATTCTTGCCAATGTTTGACCCCAAGCTAATTATGGAAATAGGTTTATACTCTATTTACCGACTGTGGCATTTCTCTCCGACATGTGCGTTTATACTTTAAGATGACAGCCACCATTATCATAGTGAAATTACAGGAGGTAAAGCCCCATCTCCTCTGTGATACTGACGGTGGAAGCCTGATGAGCGCAGCTTCTGGCCCGCGAGCGTCACAGCAGGTACCTCGTTGGTCTTGGCCTCGCCATTTTCAGAGTGGTTCTCCTCGTTCGCCTCGCTCTCCGCCTTTCCCTTCTTCCCCTTGGTCTTCTTCTCCTCTTTCTTATCGTTCACTGCCTTCTCTTTCTACAGACACAGGCAGGGGGGGATCCAAAGAAGCATCTTGACTGAAAGAGTCTGAGTTTTGGGTGGCTTCATCCAACACACAAAACAGCCCGGAATTAAGTGTGTGGATACTGATTTTTGCCAGGAAACATTACCTTTGCTGCCTTTTTGGGTTTTGGTTCCGGTTTAGGTGGCGGCGGCCTCTGTTGTGGCGGAAAGAAGGTTCTATGTCACCCATAAAGAACTGCTATGAAATCAAACAACATCTGAATACGATTTACTTTAAATACTAAGCTTAGGTCAAATAGCCCTTTTGTATATACACTCATCAAAACTTCTCTAAGAAATTACTCCCAATAACTGTGACAGGCCAAGAAATGACCCACCTAACCAGCAATGAACTTTTCCTCCATACACACACACGTGTGATTATGCTTGACATCCATGCAAACAAAGTTTTAATACAGAAAAACAACTTTGAGAAGCGCAGGTCGAACACTTACTGCCGATAACCGAGCAGATCTCCGCTGCGGCTGAAACGAGAGGGGAGAGCATTCATGTTTACAGAACCGGGTACATAAATTTAAACCTAAGCTTACTTCCAAAGTGGTTAAAAATGTAAGAGCTACATCTTCTGCAATTAGATACTTGTAGACAAATGTATGACAACAAAAATTAAAGCAACACACACCTCCTCTTTAACGTCACCCTCAGCTCCTTGTTGCTGAAAAAGAAGGTAAGACGTGTCAGGTCAAAAAAATTATAATTTATAAAAAAAAATTACTGTTAATCCTGACAATCCACATGTATAAAAATTCTGCATTAATATAAATAAATTATGAAGTGACATTTATGATTTAAATAATCATACACATTATTATTAAATAACAACAATAATAACAGAAAAATTTGTGTGATTTTGTCCGTAGTAAACAGAGAGCCTCACTGCAAATTGTCCCTGATGGGTCGCAGGTAACTATTTAACTATAAAAATTATTTTATTAAAATTTAAAAGGCAAAAAATATATAACTTGCGCTTGGGCTCACACCGGATTTCCACAATACACAAGCCAACTAATTTAAGTAAGACCGCAAGCAGATGTTCTGCGATGAAGATCTATCCTACAGGGTGTTTAGTGATACTGAACTCAAGCGCCGCGCTGTGTATTTTGGTTAATGCGATCAAACACCTAAAACCAGCAGTATAGTTATTGCGATTCGATTATTAGAATAATAATTTAAATTTAAAAAATAAATCAGTAACTGACTGGTCCGTGCCAGTTTGCAGAAAACCTGCCTTAGCATCCCCACGTGAAAACCCCACTTTCCCCTCCTCTGATTTTTCTCTGTCACACCGCCGGGGGAGGAGGGGGGCAGATAAAAGGGGGAGGGGTTGAAACAGAAACTACTGCAGCGCCATCTGACGGCAGAATGGTGACACTGCAGCCATCTGGCACCGCGAACAAAGAAAAAAATAATACATTTATTGTCTTCGGAAGGCATCGTTAGCGGTTTAAGACGGCTCACAAAAAAATACGGGTCCCAAAGCGTCTGTGAGTGTTGTTCCGAGTCACCGTGAGCGCTTATAACGATAAAGACGAGCATTTGTGATTTGCCATTTTTACGGCGGACACAGTCAGAGCTGCAAAGCATGGCTGCTTGTGGTTTAACAGCATGGAGACCAAGCTAGACTTCAGACTCCCTATGAGACGAGTGCGTTGATCAAGAAACCAGTGTAAACACTACATTTACGTGCGAAAAAATACGCCTCCTTGGCCAAAAAATTAGTCATTAATTCTTACATAAAGCACGCTAATTTATATAGTCTACTTTTTGCGCACAACGGATTTTATAATTAAATCACCGTTGTCTGGTAGGCTTCACAATAAATAGCTAGCTAATGTGAAATCGCCAGTAAAGGTTCTCTGATTTCAGAAGGAGGAAAAAAGTATTTGCATATTTCAGTTAACTACGTACCTTTCGTTTGGGCATGTTGGATTCCTGAATGGCTTCTTTAAAAATAAACCTAAAAACCTCTGTTGTGTTACTCAGAGTTCACAGCATGTAAAAGGCGAATAGCCCCTTATACTAAATACTGTAGTAAACACACAGCAACATTAAACCCAGTGGTTGAATGGGGGGAGGGGTGCGGCTAAGCCATGATTGACGCGGCGCTCAGCCAATCGCCGCTCGGTGTTGGCAGCTGCAGTACAGCCGGAGTTCCAGCGCCGGTATTTTTTTACGCGCGAAATCGTAAATGCAAATGGGAGGGGAAGATTTTCTTTTAAATCTTAAGTTGTTCTTTTTTTTGGAGAAAAATAAAATTATCTTTTTCTGCAAGGGAAATATACTCCTAGATTTTTGTGCTCGCCTGTGTCCTTAAATGCCCCTGCAAGGCGACGTACTGCATCTTCTTACACCCAGAGGTGCGGAATCAGACAATGTGGACGCTTTCAGAATTCCCCGAAAAGATGCGAAAACAGAGCGGTAGTAAGTTTGAAAACTGAACACCGATCCCCCCCCCCGTGTGCTTAGAGTACTTCCAACATGGCGCCCAGCCTGCTTGACACATTCTTCTTTGGCGGCTTAACCAAATTCCTCCGTGGAAGAAAAACCTTACCAGGCGTTTTTGAGAGACGGTTTCCTATTGGCGGTGGCGGCGCTGTACATGCTGCGAGTGGATATAAGCTTCGCCAGGACTGGACGCTCCGGTTTATTGCGCCCCTTGCGGCCATTGCACGCCTCTGCGAGAACTGTGGCGTCATGTACTGTAAGAGAGGGATGTAAGAGAGACGACTAGAAAGTGGCATGCTGCATGTTTTTAGTTGCTGGTTCCCTAGATTTGTCGCTAACAACCTGTGCAAAATAACATCAAATTCGTCCTGGTTCTTGGTGTCCAGTATCCTGCTATTACAAGACATCAATGCAGTGTGCATACGTCATGGTTTTATAGTGAAGGTCTGGCTATTAAAACGTCTGACACAGCTAGCAGCAGACGTTTGTTGAAGGTGAAACTAAGAAATACGATCACTAATAAAAAAAGACTAACACTAGCGTCTGCATATTACACCAACTGTTTTGCCCAATTTTAATACATAACGAAAGACAAATGGAGACCACACTCAAAAGTTATACGTGGTGTGCAATGTTAAACGATAAACCGAAGTTAATTGGCACTCACATAGTATGCCAGTTAATGTCTCGTTATAGTGCCCTCCCTGCTAGATATTAGTCTTTAAATAGCAAACTAATGCGCCTGAAACATCAAATAACATAGACGCCACTAATCAGTAGAGGGCGCCCCAATCCTTCAATAATTATGTTTCATGGCATGTAAATCTGGTATTTATATTCTCAAGACGTTACGTGTGACGTAAAATATTGTAACTTAAATAGAATGAATGCAGCCATATACTGTACGCGTGTTCCTTTTAGAAACAGCATATACTGTAACCCTAATGCCATGTTAATGCTCATAGTACGACCATTTCACGTATCAGAGAAATTATTACAGAAAGTACTGCATTTTTGCATATTTAACATATATCTCTGCAATTGAAAAAAAAGCTTTTAGTAACAGGAAGAAGCAACTGGGCCAAGCAATTTCCTGGCATGGCAGCATATTGCTTCAGTTTGTATTTCATCGTTGAACGCGGAATTGTGGGATATATGACTGGCACCCATGTTTAAAACTGTGATCTTAATTTAATGAATTTATACGGTCAAATTTTACACATGGAGGCTCCGTTTTCGTTATACAGGAGGAAACTAACGGATATGAAAGGCGATTCGTGCAATAACGACGCCAAATACTCTTGTATTCTCTAAAACCACCCGAAATCAAGGCGGCTGAAGTTTTTAATCATACATATATCACATTTCGCAGTTCCTCAGATTTATCTGCCTATTGTTCGTCCCACAATAATAGAGAAGCACGGGTACTTGCAGGGGAACACGAATTTTCATTTTGGATGTGTATATATATTTTTTCACTTTTGATGCTTGCATTTTATGGCTAAGATATGAAAAGGCAGCAAAAGGAGGGCGGAGAATGCGGAGGGTGGGGAGCTGAGTGACCGCAGCATTGAAACGCACCCAGTTAGGCAACATCTCGGGCCGATCGGCTCTTCCGCACAGGAGCAGCGTTGCCTCCAATTCACACAGCCAAGAGGACTGACGTTTCCGTCACTTCCATACTTATTTTTGATTCGAGTAAATTGCATTTCTTACGTATGCACCCTTTTTGCAAAAGGAAAAAATTAAAGAGAAGAAATCTATTTTAAAAATCGACATGGTTATCAAAGTTTTCATAGCATCCTCCTCTGGGTCGACTTCGGTAAGAACTTAACTTGCTACCTTTTTCGATGGCATGCCATGTACACCCCAGATTTCGCATTTTTCATTTAAAAACGATCTCCTGTTTTAGCTGCACGTTGTGTTTTCGGGTCCAAATTTAGATTACTTGGAGGATCTCCATCCGATGCATTGATCAGTAAGTAGCGATGCATGGTTTACTGCCACATAACTTAATTCTGTTGCATTGATGCCTTGAGCGAAATCTAATTGCGAGTTTTTTGAACGCGCGTCAGCCGTACGCCCATCAATGCATACAACTGCACTTTTAGACTACTTAAATAGCAATTATACTATTGCAGTTAAACATGCACCGAGTGCACATTTTTGCTTTGGGGGTAATGAACTAAAGGAAGGCGTACGATACTGAAAAGTGAAGAGCGGGCTCAAAGGGGGAAAATAAGTAGCTTTTTGCTGAAGGTCTATGCTCTCAGACTCTGTCGAGACTATATGCTGTTAGTTGGTTAATGCAGCCGGAAAGGGTCGGATGCTTGTGGGCTCTGCAGATAACACGCTCGCCGTCCCCTAAAGCGCCTGGTGCGACGCCCGTTTCACGTAACGGCGGGCAGACTAGCGGCGATAAACCAAGAGAGGGACGCTATCGTGTGGCCTACCAGGCGCAGCTGGGTGCGAAAGCGCTACGAATTAAAAACATGTGCTCTGTAATATTTTTCTCAGTTATTGATTATAGTATGCATAGTTTAAACTAATTTTATTCTCCATGACAGTATACGTCGGTTATAAAGTAGAATGCTTTAGAGATGTTAGGTATTGGATATTGTACGTGTGTGTGTGTGTGTGTCCTGCGAAACCAAAATCATCCCGATGCAAGGTCAGTATAGGCATTTTAAATTTCTGAATCTCGGAAAGAGGAGTCAGTTTCGTGTCTGTCAGCACCCCCCAGTCTGGTACTTGTCTTGGCCTCCTGTCTTTAAGGACAGTCCATACCGCACGTTGCCAAGGTATCACATTACAAACCCCGCAGGACTGTGTGCAACTTCTGATATTTCCTGTGGATCTGGGGAAAAGCAACGGAAATCTACCACCTTGCTCTTACTCCACCAGAAAAACAGATCTTCTCTGTCCCACACAAACAGCACTGCTTTTGCTCTGCTATAGGTATGCAGTTGCTCCTAAGTATCTGGTTAAATATCTCTGGCACAAAACGAAGTTGAAAGCATTAGTAGTCTGCAGTGGACCGAGCCTGATGCTAGCTGTTTCAATCATCCGGCTGTTTCCGACTCCTACATGGCATCTCGTACCTTCTCCCATGTTAATGACTCTCCACAGCATAGTTAAACCATTGTTTCTCCATGAGAACACAAAGTTATGCTCGCAAGGTTCTTTTGTGCATAAAAAGACTGTGCATTACATGTGCATGTACTGCGTCCTCGGAAATCAGCGTTTGAGGCCAGTTATTGAGAGGAACTTCCTTGTTTAGACGGTAAATGATCTCCAGGTAAAGGGAAGCTGAAGCTTACAATGGAGGATTTGTGTTCAGTGATCCTTTATCCAAATTCCAAAGATCGCTGCTCTTTATTTCCCCTTTTCTCAATATGTTACATGTGACTGGGGGTAGAATGAGTGTATTGATGAAAGGAGAAAGGGTCCAGGTACCTCAGCCTGATTATGACGTGCTTTGGAGCGTTTTCCTTGGTGGTTCTGGGATGTGGAGGAGCTGAATCCAAAGGTCAGGGCTCCGTGCAGCCATTTTCTGTGTTTATATTGAGCAAACAAGCTCTTCCATGGTAGGGGAATCAAGCCTATCCTTTCGCCATTAGGCCTGGCAGAAGTAATTTGTCTGTGTTCCTTGTCTGCCGTCTCCAGGCACTGGTGTGGTGTGTCTTTCCGCCATGACGCTGAAGTTTAGCTATAGCCTCAGGATCCTCGCAGTCATATCGTGACGTCAAGTCGCGCTCTGACACTCTATCTTCCTCGAAGTTAATGGATATCAGCCATTTGCATTTGACGCTGCAAGAGTTTCTGTAAATGGTATGCCTTTAACGCTGTTAGCTATTACACCAGGACGTTAATGGAGCTGCTCGTTAATTCCGTAACCCTCGATTACATACAATCTGGACTGATTTAATTTTCGCAGCCTGTGCGCCTAGAAAACCGGCGTGGACATTTTAGCCTCACATTAAAATCCAAGAGGTTTCTTAGGAACTCCAGACTTTGCCTCCACCTAAACGTGAAGTATTTTCAGAAGAGACCTTCTGCTTTGTTTTGGTATCGCTGTAGTACAGCATTATCAGTCTTATTTGTTGCCATACCAAATATATAAGTAGCTGCATTTCCTGTAGCTACTACAGAAAACTATACCTGGTGTGAATGTGTCAGTAAGGATTTATGTCCGGGTGCCTGGCCCTTCTCCTCTGCTACTGGTGTTACATGTCAGGCCTGTGGTTTAGGTTCAGTCTAAGCTTCTCGCAGCCCTTATCCAAACCATGCCTTAAGGTCGTCTGGGTCAGCAGGAGGAGCGTGCTGCGTTTTGTATCAACGACTAGTGCAGCCTGGAACCTGCAAAGCCTCCTCACAACTGCAGTGAGGCCTTTAAGCATCAAGAGATGGCAGTCGAGGGGGGGCATCAATTAAATTGGGAAGCGGGAGGGGCATGAAACATATCGAACTCCAATAAACCGATGCCCGCAGTCTCGGGAGAGAAGCGTGGGCGGTCGAAGAGTGAAGGTTGAGGTGCACGGGCGTGGCCAGGACCGGGGACGTTCTAGCATAACTTTTACAGGATACTCCTTTGCCCCCCCCCCCCCCCCCCCCCCCGATTCTCATAAAAATAATTGATTGGCTGGGTCTGCTCAGATGT